TGACTTCTTGGTAACATATATCTAATCAGCTGATAATATGGCAGCAGTCGTATTTGGACATGTTGACATGGTCAAGATGACCTGCTGAGGTTCAAACCGAGCAAAGAATGAGGAAGCAAGGTGGGTGAAGATGCCTTGTTAATATCAAAGGAGAGCGGCTTGACTACTCTGAGCTGAGAAGAAGGCAGTAACTCAACAACCGCTCATTACAGCCAGAAGAGCAAACGAGCATCACTGAAAGCACAAAATGTTAATATCACTCTGCCACAATGACACATTTTCAGATGCACCCTCTGGGTTTTATGGTTAGCTAACTGAAAATGGTTACTTATCTATATGTTGGTTTAGAGAGATGATACCATCAATATTTCTGCTCTAACCTGTTTTTTGGGTGCACCTTGTAGGGAGACCAGGGAGACCCCGGACCCCCAGGACCTATCTCTTTTGTTAATGGGGGTTATGCTATTCAAGGTAACACCTTGAGTTTTTTTTTACACGTGTTCCTGTGAACCACCGGCCCTTTAACCACCTCTTCTGTGATTGGTTGAAGGACCTCCAGGGGACTCGGGTTTACGTGGCTTTCCAGGACCCCAGGGTGACCAGGGACCTCAAGGCTTTCCAGGACCTCCTGGCCAACCAGGACCTGATCGTTTTGGTCCAGGTAATACACACAAATTCACACTGATCACGGAGGATTAACCACCATCAGTAATGATCTTTAGACAACAGAAGCTGTCTGTGCACACAGGTCTTCGAGGTCCTCCTGGGCCCAAAGGTGTAAAAGGAGAAGTGGGTGACCCCGGCTTACGGCCCACTGGTTTTGAAGGTTTCCCAGGACTCCCTGGGCCCCCAGGACCCAGTGGCCTTCCTGGACCTCAAGGCCCTCCAGGTACATTTACACAAAAACAGCAGATAAAGCTCTGTGGTCCTTCCCTCTCAGGCAAGCAGAAGTAGAAACCGAATATTTGAAAGTACAGCTTTATTTTTATTTCCTCCTAATTTTCTTATACATGTTTGAGCTTTGACTGTTGTGTAAGTTGTGCTCAGTTTCTGTTACTGTTGGGGTTACGGGGATTGAAGCAAAATATTTTTCAGTATATAAAAAATAGGTTTTTACATCTTAAACACAATAAAATTCAACTACTCGGTAGAAGTGAAAGACAAGACATAGAAACACTTTCAAATATAACAGCTGACTGACTTTGCTGTCCTTCAAGGCACAAACGCTGAGCCCTGCTACATCTATCCTGATACAGGTCAGTCCTACAGGTATCCCAAAGGCAGCCATATTTCTTTGAAACTCGCCAGCAACAATCACGCTGCCAAAGTGAAATTCAAAACCGCAGACTCAACTTTCACAGCCAGCATCTAGCTGCCACAATGCTTTATTTGATCACTTCTGTGCTGTGGAGGGAGCGGTTGTTAGTATAGAGTGTAGCCAGCTTCAGTCTTGGATATGAGAGGCTCTCTCTACTGATCCAAGCTGCTTCTCTCATCTCTGGTGACAAGGTGTCGCCTGCTGTGAACGTAATTCACAGATCTCACGTGGACATTAACGCTTGCTAGCAAAAGATTTCTTTAATGACTGTTTATTTCTAAAACAAACACATGGAAACACAGGAAGAAACAGTCTGTGAAACATACTGAAAGGAAATCATTGGAAAAACATCCAAAAGATGATTTCACTGGCATGGAAGATGACTGTGTTTGGGTATTTTCGTTGCCGGGGTAAGGCTCCGAACTGCAACAGGCTGTGCATGCTGCTTCTGGTGAGTAGCTCTTAACCATGACGGTCGATGTAAAATCACTGAAGGGGTTCATGTTGTTTTACATTTTAAGATGACAAAAAATAAGCCTCTCATCTTGCAACAGCAGCTTAAATCTTTTGTCAAATCTGAAAACCAAACAAAGCAAACTAACCTGATTTTAAACTGTGGTTTCAAGCCGCACTTCCGCTCTGCTGGCTTGAGTAATTCCTTTTCCGGTTATTGAAAGCTTGGTTTCAAAAGCAGAAGCAATAAATCAGTTCAAGAAACTTAAACAAGTATAAAGTGTTTGTGTAAAATCTTAAAGTAACAATTTGTGACTTTTAAAACTACTTTGCGGTCAGTGTAACCTCTAATGGGTGTAGCTTTGCGTGTGTGTTTGTGCAGGTGACTCTGAAGGTCTACCAACTGCTCCCCCTGGAGGCCCCGGGCCGCCTGGTCCCACAGGATTTCCAGGAAACATTGGTGCCAAAGGGTTTAGAGGTACACACAGATATGCAGACTTCATGAAATGAAATGATTTGTTTCTCGCAAAAAATATATTTAAATCATCGCGTTTTTCAAAATGAGTCAAAATTGTTGCCGAGAAGTGAAGAGGTGAGTGAGGAGTTTACCCACACATGAAAAGCAAGCAGCAAAATACAAATACGAAGCATTGGTATTCAAGGAAACTAAAACACAACTACTGGAAATGGAAGCAAAAGTGCGACAATCTACAATTCTTAATCCCGCCGTCCCGCAGGCGACCCTGGTGACTGCAGATGTTCTGGAGGAGACTTCTCGGGGTTAGATGGACCACCTGGACGTCCAGGAACCAATGGCAGTCCTGGCCTGCCTGGGGTGAAGGGTTTTCTTGGAGACCCCGGTTCACTAGGCTTCAGTGGTCGTCCAGGACCTAGTGTAAGCAAAACCCTGCCCTTGATATGACTTGAATGGGAATTATTAATAATAATAATCATCATCATCATCGTATTAATCATAATGATAAGTAATTTAAATGCATGCATACCAGTTTCTGAAGTTTCACATTTCTGTAACTCTGCAGGGTCCTCCTGGTCAGCGGGGCTTCCCCGGGCGTAAGGGAGAGAAGGGGGCTCCATATTACCCCACCCTAAATCTGGGGTTCGAAGGGAGTCATAGGAGATCCTGGACCCAGAGGACCTACAGGTGAAACAGGAAATCCTGGAAGAGACGGGCTGCCTGGCTTCCCTGGATTTCCTGGACCCCCAGTGAGTCCTTCGAAACACAGTTTACATATTAGTTCATCTTCAGAAAGATTTTCATTTAATACGTTTTTAAAAAGACGTCCAAATGAGGATCGTTGTTTCCTCTTTCCTCTCCCCAAAGGGTTTAATGAAATGTCCTGTAACTGCTAAGCTAGGGTAGTGTCTATAAATGAAGATCCGTGATTAGGCAATTTAATTATTGTTAATGTTTTATATTAAAAAATATCCGCTTTTACAAGTCGTCATTACCTCTGTAACAAGAGTAGTATATGTGACAGATAGAGCAATAAAAATTGCTACCATCAGTGTGAGCACAGTAGCCCCATCTGCTGGTGAAATAGCAGAGAAGCTTTATACAAACTTTGCACTTTCAGCTGCTGCCTTCATGCCTACGGCGTGTGGATCTGATATATTGTGGTGTTGTAAATTCACAGGTTCACTACAAATGATATAAAACTTCTTTTTAGTAAGAAATGTTGATGTCTCTTTATAATTATTAGGTTAAAGGAAAACACAGCTGTAAGAAAATACCCGACTTGTACCATACATCTGCTTTAGAGGAACAGTGATTCTACCTTGAATCCTGGGTATCCCGATGAGCCTGGGGTGCCTGGACGTCCTTTGGGTCCCTGGGTGGAAGAAGAAAAATGAATCTAAATTGAACATACTGTACAGGTTTAAAGACTAATGGCTATCATGCCGTGCAGCAGGGGTGTCTGTGTTGACAATAATATATATATTTTGTCATGAGTTAGGAAATAAGAGGATGCAGTAACTCCTGAGTTTCCTATAGATATTATGAGGTTATGTGAAGTATGTACTGTATTTTTTCTTGGTTTTTGTGGGACTTTTTGGTTGTGAATGCACATGAATATGATTCTTAACATGGAGTAAGGGCAACAAATGTGTTGCTCTTTTTTTCTATGATTTAAGACCATCAACTACATTTTTACATGAAACCCCAATTCACTAAATAAAGGTAAAATTATATTTGATCCATATAGTAGATGGATCTCCTCTTCTATGTAGGAAAGACCATGTGTCTAATATAAGAGGATAACTGTGGGGATGAAGGCAAAGAAACAATTACTTTCACCTGTAAGCCAGCTGAGTATTTTCTGTGGCTCATAATTAATGTGAGAACTATTACTCTGTGCTTACAGTCTTACAAACCCTACCTGCAGTCCTGGAACACCGGGCGGTCCGTTAAACCCTGGAGCCCCCTGCTTGGCAAAAACACAAACAACACCCACCACAGAAGAAGAGGAAATGGTGAGAGGAGTTCCCCTCACAAAGGGAAATAAGGAAGGAATTTCAAACAGTAATGTCACTAAATGCACTTTAACTGAAGCCAAAAAGCACAGTCTTACTCTGCTCCCGGGGTATCCAGGAATGCCCTTTTCTCCATATTCTCCAGGATAGCCAAAGGGTCCCTGTGATTCAGCGACAAAAAGGAAGGTCTCCTGAATCACAATTTCTCCTAAAATGCATCTTGCATGGTGGGCATGAAATAAAACATAAACAAGCAAACTGTTTGAATACTTACAGGTAGGCCGGGTATTCCAGGGTATCCTTTAGTTCCCTTTGGACCGGGGTCACCCTTTGAGAGAGGCAACGAGAGAGCAAAGTAAACAACAGCAAAAAATCCATCCTTGTTACGCACTCCATCCCCATTTGTTTTTCATCCATTGCCTTTAATAAATCATGGATCCTGTTCACGTGTGGTTTCTTCTTTGCGCGGTAGAGCTTTAACTGGCATTTTGTGGATGAATTTGTGGAAGTGTTCCTGAGCCCATGGAATGATTTCCATGAGTGAATCATTCCTGTTTTTAATGCCGCGCCGTCTGAGCACCCAGAGATCACAGACAACCAACAGGAATCTTTGGATTCCCCCAGATTCTCCAAATCTTTTGATATTATGCGCTGTAGATGACGACATATTTTAAGTATTAATAATTTGATATTGAAGCACATTATTATGAAATTATTCGACAATTTGCAAAATGTTGAACCTCTGCCCTGCATTACTTCTGAGAGGCTCTTTTTATATCCAGTCATGTGACTCACCTTTGGCCAGTTAACCATTTTTCTTAAAATTACGCATTTTCTCAGCTATTCATAAAATATTTGCAAATCATTGCATTCAGTTCTTATCTAGAGCACATTTAAAGCGTCACAATTTGGGGGATAAGTGGGTTTTGTATTTAATTGTGCTAAAATCAGGATCGTCTGCGACAGTCATAGTTTGCTGGACAGTCAAGTAGACGTACTCCTCTTGTTGAAATGCATGCAGCACTGTTGTGCCTCAAGTCTGTTGCATGTAATTTAATAACAGTGACTGTTAGTGCCTCCCTAATTTACAGTTTTGATGAAGTGGAATTAAAGACGTCATTTTTCCACATCTTTTCCTTCCATTTGTCTCTTATTCACGTAGCCTGAGGTTTATTATTTGACCTTCCAGCTGTGAAACCTTTACTGACTCAGGCATGCAAAAGGTCTTATAAAAGTCTGGAGATCACTGAGGTCTCGGAGCAAGAGCTACCAAAAGAAAGGATTGTCATTATCGTGATGTATGTGGCGTTTTTCCATCACTGTGCGGCTGTGATCTGATTTAATCCTGCTTCAGTCTGATAAAAACAACACCTTGCTAAGAAAACGGTCTCATGCAGCTCGTCATTTAACAGCTTAATGTGGCTGCTGCTGTCTGCTTAGACCCTAAAGCACTAACATGGGGTGATTTCACCCACGCGGTGAGTAAATATCACTCAGTGGTATTTCCCAAAAGGTATATGGTCAGCTGGTCACCTTCACCCTTCCAATTTTTTGTTGTTGTTGTTCATCTATCCTACTGTTTTCAGTGATGCAGGGAGTCTGTCACCTCCCTGGAAAAGGATCACATTTCCCAGGAAAAAGTTTCTTTTATTTTTGTAGATTTTTTTCTCTTTGATACCTTTTTTTGTAGAGGGGAAATAAAAGAAGAGTCCTTTTTGCCGTGCATTTTTCTACTTTAATACGTTTTGGGAAGCATGTTTTAACTGATCTATTATATCAGGGGAAATGTTCCCTGACATTAGCGATAGCATTACAAAACTAGATGTTAGTGTTGTGAATGCGTTCAATATAAAGCTGCAGCATTAGCATAGTGTCGGTTTTTAACTTTCTGAGTGGCCATAGGCTCAGAAACTATTCTGCTCGCCTCTACAAACAGAAGTTAGATGCATTCGCACAAAGTCTTGGTAAAGGACAGGAAGCTTTTTGCTTGTGTTTATATTGATCAGCCACGCTGGAGCGTGCTTTGGTTGCATGAAGCAAAAACAATATGTGTTGGGCAAATAGAGAGCTCGCTTTTCAAGAAATCTGCGAGATGACCATCGCTGTCTACTTTTCCCAGTGACACATGGACATAACAGGAAGTCTTGGTTTGGATGTGTCGGTTACACCAAAGGAAAATGTCAGTTTCTCTCATTCATAAAGCAGTGAACCTGGGAGAAAAGTGTAAGTAAGTGAAGCATACAAGTTTACCAACACATGATGGTGTCGATCACTTTCAGGCTGTTGCCACCATTAAAATGACTTTTTTATGTTTGAAACTGATTTTTTTGTGACAATGAAATAAAACGCTTGTGTTTCCCAACAAACCTGCATTCCTTTGTCTCCTTTGGGAAAACCCACAAACTCCACAACGCCATTGATCATTGGCTGGCCGGGGTCACCAGGCAAGCCCATGTCGCCCTGGATGCGGTGACCAAGGAAGAAAGAACTGTTTACGCTGACGAAGCGCGGGAAAAAACAACCCCAGCTTTTGGAACGTTTAGGGGAAGAGAGGGCAGACTGTGGACTGGAGGATGGACGGCATGAGGCCGCGCAGGAAGCGGCTGAAGAGAGCGCAGACCGAGGAGAGGAGCGAGGAGCTTTATGGATGAGGATGAAGAGAGGCTGGTGTTTGTTGTTTCTTTACAACTTTAATCCTACTTACAGAAACTTTGAAGGAGGTTCAGACAGTAATAGTCAGATTCAATTTTAACATTGGTATGCAGAAGGTTTTTTAAACTAATTATAAACAGATTTGATTTCTTTCTCTCCTCATGTTTCCAAAATTGTCTGTACTCAAGATGTGTCAGTCTGTGTCATGTGTTTGAAAGCTACCAAAAAATTTAGGATCAATAGTTTGAACTTGAAAGCTCAGACACGCTGAGTTTATAACAGTTTATAAAAGTTTATAACAGAAACTTTTCACTAGGGTCCATTTTGCCGTCTTCACTAGACTGCAGTTTAATGCATAAACGTTATAAGCCTCAAACACATTGCACAATGACAACACATCCCAAGGAAGAAAAACTATTTTATCCAAACACCTTTCACAATAAAAGCTTCCTGGTTTTGGTGCAGAGCAATTTTTACTGAACCTAAACTCAGGGGTTTTCCAGCAGTTAATGATTCAGCACCTTTAATGCCATAGTCTGTCTCTCACACTCACAGTCTGCAGCATCTGTGTTGCTTTCATTACTTTTATTACAGCTGTAAAACAAATATGGGATAAATACTGTATTTCTTAAATGATCTTAATAAAAAAATTCAGGTTGGCTGAAAAATGTAAATGATTTTTTCTCCAAATTCTGATTAAAGATGCACGACTGCTGCTCTCTGTGAGTCTGGACAGTGATGACCGACCTCTCCTCCACCTCTCCCCGTGTCTCCTCACGTCCTCCCTCGGCTCCTTGTTTCCTCCCTCCAGCACGTCCTCCTCTCTGAGGTTTGTAAGGTTTGCTGCAATCACTGCTCCTCTTCTTTATTAGACCTTTGGCCTGCCTACTGCTGCATCGTTGCACTTCTTTCTTTTGGTTACTTTCTGCAGTGAAACCCCCACCACATCCTTGCGTGTGTTTTTGTGTGTCTGTTGTGTTAGCTCAAAAACCTTCGCTCCTTCCCTTCCTTTGCTGTGTTACCTTATCTCCTTTGTAGATAGTGAGTGTTTTTGGGCCGCTTAGCGACGTGTCGCCGGGACTACCCCTGGGTCCGGGAAGACCCACGTCACCCTAGAGTCCGAAATACACACGAAACACACTGTTAGCCAATCAGGAGACGCAAAGAGCAGAGGAGGGGAAGGAAGGAAGGAAGGAAGGAGAGAAGGGGAGAGGAAAAGGAGAGAATGGGAGGATTATTATCCTGAAGCAAAGGTGAGAAAATAGCATCAGCACCTTGAAAAATCACATTAAATTATATTCACTGAACAGAGCAGATCTGGACTCTCAGTACAGTGTGAAGCAGAGTAGCATCAGATGCAACTAATGTTAATCAAAGTTAATCTAACCTGCTGTTATGCATATAAATGTGCACACAGTCGATAAGGGACATCAGTCCTTATATTGAAAGTAGATCTTTTTAAAGCTTTGTACTTCTTTAGGTGAGAAGGTGACACCTGCACACTCTGTACGCTGTACAACATGAGGTGTATCACTCCTCTGGTTTTCCACCTGGAGACAGCGTTTACCCTACAGTCTGCCTTTGGTGGCAGCTGTGACATTTAGCTGTCGCCTCATTGCTCTGACACACAAAATAATTGTCTAATTTTATCCATTCTGGACTTTCACAATGAAAACCTTAAAGTCTTCAGCTTGACCTCCTGTTCTTTTGTCTTCGAACCATACACCATTTCAGGTCTCACTAACATTTTTTAAATCTTCTCTTTCCCACTTGCGGTTATCCTTCTGTCACAAATCACCTCTGACACTCGGCTCCACCCACTCCCACTTGACTGCACTCTCTTTTCTACCTCTCTTGTGCACTGCTCCTTGATTGAATGCTTGACCTCAGGTACCTTGACCACCTTTGCTTCTTGCATGTTCACCTTTCCACCTGTCTCCCTCTCATTCTGTCCTGCTTATACTGACTTGCCCTTTTCTCCCCAGAGCAGACCTCCACCTGCTCCCGACTCTCACTACAGATCACAGTGTCATCTGCAAACATTGTAGTCTGCAGAAACTGCTGCCTTACAGTTGGACTCTTTTCTGTCATATAAATTTACTGCATTTTTAAAAAAAATGGTGACGCTGGTGGAGCAAAAGAAAAAGGAGGCAAAAAAAGAGGGTAAAATATAAATATAAGGCTCAAAAACAGATTAGAGAAGGTAAAGGAATAATAGCCGTGATAGATAAAAAAGAAGAAAGCTTAGTGACACTTTATATATTATAGTCAGTGTATAAAAATTCAAGGCCAGAATTAAAGAGAAACACACATGCTGCACATTTTTTTACTGAAAAAAGGTGTAATTCAATCCTAAAAGTGCATTTCACCAGGCTGGAGAAGATCCAGCTGTTTCCACATTCACTTCATCCCTGTTTTTATCCTTGCTCAGTCGCTACGGGTTTTGGTTGATCACAGCATGCATGCAGTGTGTGAGGAAGATGATTGTTAGTAGCACCTGTGCCATTTGTGCAAACGGTATGGGCGGGTGTGTGGATTGATGAGCGGGTGGTGAATAAGAAGTCAAGGAGTGGGAGAATGACCTACAAGTCTCAGCAATCATCACCAGAGGCCTGATGTGGTCAAGATGGGTAAATAAAATCATACAGGAAGCAGGAGCGAGTGGTTGCAGCACCCAGTTACAGCCCACAGGTTACAGTCCTCCAGAGTGACAACTCAGAAATTTCAACTGGTAAAAGTCCAGGGTGGGATAGACTCACATAAAGTCAGCTGGGATTAGCTCCAGCCCACTCGCAAATCTGAACTGGAGAGGTGTTTTTGAAACTGGATGGATGGGACGAATTTTGGGTGAATTATGGTGAGAAATCTCTGAGCTGTCATTCAACAATAAAGAAATCAGTCCGTGAGGCCACTGGACATCGGACAAACTCCCCGATCGAAAGAAAAGAAAAGAAATTGCCAAAATAATTGAACTTGGAGTTGAGCTGGTCAGGATTAAGCTGAGCGATCTGTCTCAGGGAGTCTGCGTTTGTCTCAGCGGCAGCACGGATCACATGAAGAACAAACCAGACCGAAACAAGCAGAGGCTCATGTGATTGTTTTTATCATTCAGGAAACAGATGCAAAAATCAGTCCAACACATGTGTCAAGAAGAGGATGGAGAGAGGAGGAAGGTGGAGGGATGCAGGAACGGGTGGGGTTAAAAGGAGAAGGAGGGAGGGATGCAATGGACGGAAGAAGAGCAGGCTGTGCCACCACCAAAATGTTAACATGCACGGCATTAAATCAATGAACTTTAGTGTCATTCGAGCCGACACACACGCACACACATGCACACACACACACGCACACGCACACACACACACACACAGCTGGAGCACTTAAAGCCTGCTGTTGTCATTAGTGGTTGTAGAGCAGTGATTGCCAAAGTGTCAGTTGGGGCCCCCTGGTGGACTTTGCAGGTACAGCAGGCATGCCACAGTAACACTGTGTACAGTTCCTAATTCTATCATGAATATGAAATTATCACTTATGAACAAAGTGAATTAAAGCAGAATTTTCTGGCTTTAAGGGGGCCACAGCACTTTTCCCTTTGGGAATGGCTGCTTTACAATATAGAATCCATAACATTTTACTACAAAACAACGTGAAACGGTGGTTAAAGAACGTTTTTCACCAACATAATGACTTAAATCTGAGCTCTGCTTTAATAGCACTTTATTATTAGCATTTGGGTCCCCGTGAGGTTAAAAACAAGTTTTTGCTCCAACAAATAGAAAGATTTTTT